TTTGGGAATTAACCGATCTTCCGAATGGAAGAAAAGCCATTGGTTGCAAATGGGTTCTTAGAAAGAAATTCAAAGTAGATGGAACTTTGGAGAAATACAAGGCCAGGTTAGTAGCCAAGGAATTCACTCAACAACCTGGAATAGACATTTGCTTATGCATTTGGACTGTCAGCCGCTATAATGTTTGGAGACTGCTGCGTATTTGGACTGCACTGTGCTTATAAGTTCTAATGCGGTAGTAGCAAGATGGATTTAGAATTGCATCAATTAGATGTTAAAACTGCTTTTTCTCAATGGAGAATTAAAAGAAGAAATTTATATGATGCAACCTGATGGTTTCCATAACCAAGGCAACGAGGATAAGTCTACAAGTTGAAGAATCTCTATATGGACTTAAACAATCTTCAAGACAATGGTACTTGAAATTCCACCAAGCCATTTTAGAAATGGGCTATGTTGTAAGTCCATTAGATCACTGTGTTTATATCTGGAAAAATGTTGACAAGTTAGCAATATTATCTTTATACGTGGATGATATATTGTTAGCAGGAAACTGTCCAGATATAATTATAAAACCAAATTTTCTTAGATCTAGATTTGAAATGAAAGACATGGGTCTTGCAACCTATGTTCTAGGAATTAGAATTTCAAAGAGATAGAAATTCAAAATTATTATATCTAGATCAAGAGAAATATCTAGACAAAGTGCTCAAAAGATTTAATATGGAATAACTGTAATTCTTTAAGTACGCCTGTTTGCAAGGGACAAAGTCTTAGTAAAGTATGAGTCCTCAAACTAAGTCTGACATTGAGGAAATGAAAAATGTTCTGTATGCTCAAGCAGTAGGCAGCCTAATGTATGCCATGACAAGCACTAGACCTGACATCTGTCATGCAGTCGGATTGGTAAGTCGGTTTCAATCTAATCCAGGTAAGGAACATTGGTAAGCAGTCAAAAAGAATATTCAGGTATTTAAAAGGCACTAAAAACTTTAAGTTATGTTTTGGTTTGTGTGATTTAGACATAAAAGGATACACTGATGCGGATTTGCAGGAGATGTAGATAATAGAAAATCACTAGTGGTCATGTGTTCTTGTTTGGTGGAACAGCAGTTTCTTTGGTTAAGTAAGAAACAGAGTTGTGTTGCAAAAATATACTATGGAAGCTGAATATATAGCTTGCAGCACAGCCGCGTTAGTAATGCGGTCTGGATAAAACGATTTGTTGACAGTTTACAATTAGGTATACCTGTCAGACCAGTCAGTATGTTTTGTGACAATCAGTCTGCCATCTCATTAATAAAAAGTGGAGCAAATAGCTCTAAGGGAAAACATATTGATGTTAGTTACCACTATATTCAGGACATAGTGGAGAAAGGTGAAATAAAAGTCAACTATATACCCTCAGAAGAGATGGTGGCTGACATTGTGACCAAAGGGTTGTCTCTAGAAAAATTCAGAGAACATGTAACTAATATGGGATTGAAAAATGGCTAGCTAGGTGGTTTAGCTACTTATATAAGAGCATAGTTGGATGACTCTGGGGACGCCTAGATAACCGATGTTTTGTGACTCTATCTTGCATTGAAACATGTGTTTGGTCAGGTAACAAGATAAAGGAACTGACAAGGTATGGATATATAAGTTAGCATGAGATGTAAAGTCCATAATATGCAACGTGCTAACTAGATGATATTGTCTGCTTGATCAACAAAAAGTCATTGATAAGGTGTGTTAAGGAAAACCTTCAGGAATGGGTCTTAAAGGAAGTACTTAACAATAATTTCAGTGCAGGTCGACACATGAAAAATGTGTACGGCTGAAGTCATCAATGGTGATTGGGTATGGATTATGAACCCATTACTGAAAATTGATGCCGTTCACTTGTAATATAGTGAATTGAAGTCATCTGGAATGTGTTATCAGTGGGAGAACACATTCGTACGGGTGCGGTCAGATTAGTGACAAAAACGTGCGCACGTAAGGCCAAGTCACAATCAGACGTCGATCTATGAGGTAATTTCATAGATGAAAGTTGGCATGAGGCAAAATTTTGGTACCAAGGTTAAAAATGCTCAACTCAGGTTTATCGTCTTATTATGGTGTGTTCAAGTGGGAGATGATGGAATAAAGAATGACCACACCATAAAATTGGTGTGACTCACTTCATTAGAATTCTTCTCCCTAGCAGTGTTATAAACCTTCCCGTAAGAATCCGTTAGTTGGTTGATATTTGAATTCAAATTATCAACAGACACAACTCTATGAAACATGGCAACTGTTCTTAGATTATACCTATTGCCAAAAGTCTCCTATTGATATATAAATAGTGACAACAGGTTGTGAATAAGAGATAGAAAAAGAACTACAAAGTTAACTATTTTCTATCTTCCGGATATTCAACATTCTTGCGTGATAAACACCCTCACGAGTATTCCGATTGATTGCCATTGATAGAACATCTTTCAGAAATGAGAGAAAAAATGATTGATTGATGTGTAATAGAGAGAAATAATTTTGGAATTTTTTTGAGAACATTTGTAACCAAACATGTTTTTGAAAATTTTCTTCCAAAAACATGTTTCAAAACACAAACCAAACACATATATTTGAGGGTATTTTCATTGATGATTTGAGGGTGATCGATTAATCAACGAGTTTCATATTAACAAACATCAAGGGTTATTTTTGTTCTTTCATTCACAAAAAGAGAGAAGTGTTCTTCGGTGGACTTCAGAGTGACTTATCGTCGTGGATTCAACATTGACACTATGGATTCAACGTTAGGCAAGCAATTCCGAGGTGAAAACGGTGGTGGAATTGGGTTTGGTTCAATTTGGGCATGGATTCACTAGATAATTGATGATTGTCGCATGTAATTTTTTTTAGTCTTCTTAGTAGATTGTTTTGTAGTTTTGGCCTGTTATTTTTTATCACAATTGAAGTAGTCTAATTGTGATTTTTTTCACGTTAAATCGTTATGTCAATTTGTTATTGATTATTTATTTAGAATTACTATTCATTATTTAAAATTGAATCATAATAAAAAATCAACATCTCAAGATTTTTTTTAGATTTTTCCCACTCCAGCTAGACAATGTGACAAGAATCTTAAACACCATCGCATCTATAAATGTATTAATCCATTAGACATAAGGGTTTGTCGCCATGTTATCAAATTTTCAATTCAAAATTAACTTTTTGGAGTTTCTTAATTATTAAAAAGATAAATAAATTGTATTGAATTCAAATTGTGTTAAACAGAAGGCCCTGTGCAGTTGGTATATACTCAAATCCTCTTAAGTTAAATGTAGCATCCTGTCTTTGTGAACTCTAAAGAAGATAAAATTACTTTTGACTTTTCTGCTTCATCTAATCTAAACACTTCGGATGATTAATGAAAAAACTAAATTATTGTCAATCATGGAGGCCCATGCCAACAACTTTGTCTGCCACTAGATTTCTTTCTTAAATGACAGCAGGGGATCTCAAAGGTAGCAATATCTACTACATTGCCATGCTTTCAATTTGAAGTGAGCAATTTAAGAGAGGGATACTTTGTATGAGAAATTTGGGCTGTCTATGGTTAAAGCCTTCCTCATGATGATCATTAGGCAAAAAGGTTAAAAACACAAATAAATTGATGATAATGAAAAACTAACAAGACTAACTCGTTGGCCAAGAGTCTTCGCACCTCTTAAGTTAGGAGTTTAACTTTCTACACCGACTTGCTGTTATTTCCCTTTTATTTGTTTGATTGTATTTCTCATGTTTGTTTGAATTTATTGTATGATTATGGCTATTTGTTGGGCTTTCTTTTATATTTAAATGTGTAGTTCTCGTGATTTTTTGTTTTTAATACAAAAAAATGGCAAAGAAAAAAGAATCAGACACAGAGGAAGAACCATGATGAGTGAAAAAAAGGTCTTAAAAGAAAGGGAAATTTCTCTGCAGAAAAAGTTGTTGCAGAGGAATTGATGGATCAGGGATGGGAATTTGGAGAAAAGAGATCTATTTGAGATGGAAAGTAAATTTCTTTTATATGGGTCCCCAAAGCATCTTCTAAAAGATATGAAACAACACAGCAAGTTAACCCAAAGCATCTTCTAAAAGATATGAAGAACAACGCAGCAAGTTAAATTTGTAACAGATATAAAGTGGATTCTCTGTTTTACTATTTTTTATCCTTTTATTCTCCGTGATGCCAGGGGCCTCGAATTGTAGAGCTCAAATACCTCGACAATTCCTCTCTTCCTCCCCCTCCCCCCTATTTTTTTTTGGAAAAATGTTAGGGATTATGAAAGATTTTTTATGAAAATGATCATGAAAGGTTTGTGATCCTTAAATTACCTGGATTAGTGTATGGTGATTTATTCTAAGTATAATCCAAATGTTACAAATCTTTCATGATCATTTTCATGAAAGACTTTTCATGATACCTAGTATTTCTGATTTTTTTTTTGGAAGGATGGTTATGTATAAAGGTGTACCAAAAAAATTAGACATTCCGTACCAATTTAGCGTTTGACTAGTTAGGTGATAAAATTGAATGATCAATTAGGTTGCTGATTAAAAGTTGTTAATTCCATATAATTTTGTACGAGTCCCTATTATATTTTTATTTCAATTAGTAGGGATTCGTACAAAATTATATGAAATTAAAAATTTCAACCAGCAGCTTTGATTAGTTAATTTTATCATCCAATCAATTCAACCCAATTTACTCACCTTATCAAACTACACAGGCTGAGTTGGTGCGAGATATCTAGTTTTTTGGCACACCCCTACACATAACCGCCCTTCCAAGATAAAAAAAAAAAAAAAGCCAACCACACTGACTGAGTTGGTACGAAATATCTAGTTTTTTGGCACACCCTTATATATAACCACCCTTCCAAAAAAAAAAAAAAAAAAAAAACCAACCCACCCAACAACAGCCAACCACACTGACTGAGTTGGTACGAAATATCTAGTTTTTTGGCACACCCTTATATAAAAAAAAAAAAAAAAAAAAAAAAAAAAAAAAAAAAACCAAACCAACATAGAAAATCCAAAGTCGAGGCATTCGAGTCTCACAATTTGATGCCCCAAACATTTCCCATTTACGCTCTTCTTATCATATAACTCTTCACCCAGAAAATTCTTCGGATTTAAAAGATCAAACCACCAAAGAAAAAGGAAAACCAAACCAAAAAAAAATGCAAGCCTTGAAGAAAGTCCATCTTCTTCATCTTGTCCTACTCACACTCAACTTCTTCCCAAAATCTTTAGCCAAACAAAACCCAAAAAGCTTTTGTGGCAAAATTACAATTCAAAAACCATTTTTTCTTCAAAATTCAACAGAATCATCCCTACTAAGCCACATGGTAGTTTGCAAGTCTCAAAAACTATACTTTAGGACCTCCCTTGGCCTATTCCAAATCTCCTCCATTGATTATACCACTAAACTACTAACCATCTCTCACTCTTCATGTTCTTCTTCATCCAATTATGTCTCTCCTGCGCTTCTCTCCGCGGGCTTTCCTTCTCCTCCAAATCCAAATTCACTTGCTCTCTTCGATTGCTCATCAAAAAATCACATGTTCAAAGCTAAATTTAACTGTACTGGCCTACATGGAGGCAAAGCAGCCTTGAATCTTTGCGAACAAAAAGTTGATAAATCATATTCGTGCTTATTTGTGAATGATACTGAAAAACTGGACAAGGGTTTTCATCCAAATGATTTGAATTGCTCGCGGTATAGTAGAGTTTATAGAAGAAATTCATCGGTTGATGACAACTTGGAAGGATATGAGTTGGGAACAAGGATTTCTTTCGATATTCCTAACCATGTACCCAATATCTGCGACGAGTGTAACAAGCCCCATGGCAATTGTGGGATTGGATTGAAGTGCATTTGCCACCCAAAAGACTGTAGTAAGTGCCCCCTTTTCTTGCAAACTTAAAGTTTGATTTTATTTGATTTGATTTGATTTTATTTTTTTGGGCTATTTTCTTGTGCAATATTTGGTATATGTGAAGGTTTCAAATGGTGTTATTGCAGAAGATAAAGTCATATCCAAGAGTGTTACAGTGGACCCTTTTGGTAATATTCTCTTCTCTTTGCTTTCCTCCATTGTTGTGATAGTTCTCTTCAAAGCTTCTTGAAGCAATTGGCTTTGAACTTTCATATGAAAAAAATGTCACTTTAATATTAGGAATTATGAAGAAAATATTATGAAATGCATCATGAAGGTTTTTTATCCTTTGATCAGTGTGTAGTATTTTATTGTATCTAACAATAAAAAATCTTTCATAATCATTTTCATAATATTTTTTTCATGATCCCTAACATCACTATCTTCCCAATTCCCATTCATGGAGGAACACAAGCTTTTAACTTTTAGCATGGGTGATCCTTTGTATTTTCTTTGTGGTTGTATTTTCAAGGATACTATAAATTGTATGGCACATAATTTTGTGACTTTAACGTTTCTGTTGTTTTTCGATTTTTGAATTGTATTTATGATGTTAGTTAAAAGTATTCACTTCTTTTTATTTTTTATTTTTTGATCTTCCCCAAATTCAAGATTCAAATATTAATGAGATAATTTGAGTTAAAACACACCAACAAATGAAAGTCCAATATGGAAGTGATTATTTATGCTTTGAGGAGGTAGTTTGGGATGCAAGTTTAGCACTAAATTAGCCAGAGATAAAACAAACTATATTACTTAACAAGATAAAAGGGTGATTTAGAAAGTTAGTTAAGAGTTAATTTTTTTTTTTGTTTTTTTTTTTGTCTTTTTGTATAAAAAATATAAGAGGTGATGTAATTCAAAATAAGTTAAAAACTAAAAACTAATTTTTCAAATCACTTTAAAATGTCACATCTAAATCATAATTATTTTATTTTTTCTTTTACAATCATCAAGTTAACTAAAAACAATAAATAAATTCAATCATCATTCAAAGACAATTTGTTCAGACAGGTTAAAATAGTCAAATAACTAAAAAAAGCCAAGCTAAAAACGTCTAACCCAAATGAGCGCATCAAACACTCATCTACGTTGTCTACCCTCTCTCTCTTTTTTGCCTTTCTCGATTAATTTTCTGATTCCCTCTCTGTTTATCGTCTTACAATAGCAATTTTACAAACACAGAATCAGTAAATAATTTTGCTTACTTACTGTTCATGATGTTTCATAGGGGGAAAAAAATGAAAAGAAAAAAAAAATACACAGGACATAAATTTCAAAAGACTACTCAATGTGTACAACAAATTAAACAACCTTTTGGGTACACGGTGACTATTGGTGATTTGGGTGTTGTTGGGCAGAGAGAGGCAGTAGATTCCAAAACCCTAGGCTACACCACATGTGGGTGGGCAAGAAACAGAGACAAGTTTCTGGTTTGTTGTTTTTGGGTGATGGTGGGTACACTGCTACTGCTTTGCTTCACGCTCTCTGGCAGGGTTTAGGGTTTAGCGGAGGGCATAAAGGTCAAGCAAGCAAAGACATCTATCTCGTACACACCACGTATCTCTATTGGAATATATGCTTTCTGATTCGATCAGATCAAAGATCAGGGATACATGTGGTAGGGACAACTTGCGGTTTCGCAATTAATTTTGAATTAATTAGTTAAAAGGCTGGTTTATAAATGTTATGATAGTTGAGGTTCTATGTAAATTTTTTTGAATAAATTATTAATTTTGTATAGTAATATTTCAGATAATTATTTTATTAATTGATAAAAAAATAGAGTATGAGATTAAATATTTTTATTCTTCTACTTATTGATTTGATTTAACTATCCAATAAAACAATGAACATTATTAATTTTTTTAGTTTTAAAACTGAGAACATTATCAATTTTTTTTATAAATATTTATTTTTGTTTTCATTTTTTTTTTCAGTTTTGTACATCAATGTTCCATCATCATACTCCTCTATAGACACAAAATTTTTAGTTTTGTACAAAAAAAACAACTTAATTTTTTCTATTTTTTCAAAAAAAAAACATTTATTTATTTATTTTTTTTGCACATAATTTTTTTTTATAGTTTTTTCAATCAGAAAATGTTTGAAAGTTTTGTAAATCAAAATAAATATTAAATCATCATGTTCCTTTATAGATGATCATAAATGATGAACAATCATTATTTGAAGAGCAATTCCGACTATTAAAAATTTAATAGAACTTGAAAATCTAGTTTTAGTTAGGACTTAATAGAGTATAAGTTCATAAACTAGGACTTGTGTGTGAATGTCTCATTAATTTTTTTAGTTGATTTTTTGATTTTTTTTTAGTTATTTTAGTTTGGTATTAAATGTTTGCTTGGTTTAATGTTTTTGAAATTTTTTTTATAAGAGAAAGAGTAAAATAATTATGATTTAGATATGATATTTTGTTTTATTAACTTGTATGTGTGTGTGTGTGTGTGTGTGTGTGTGTTTTTTTTTTTTTAACCAAAAAACTAATGCCAAACAAAGCTGGGCATTTTCATTAAGCATAAGACAAATTGGATTATACAAGTAACTTATATACTTATTTTAATTTAAAAATTTGTGATAAATTATTTAGTACAATATTTAGTTATGACTTATTAGACAAAAATTTCTATTTTCTAATTATCAATTTTTAGCATAAAATAACCTACACCAAGCCCCCCATGTTCTATTTTTTTTTTTTTTTAATTGAGTGATTTAGTGAAAAATGACCAAAAAAATAATTTTTAAAATATAAAAGAAGAAAAAGAACTTTTTGTTATATTTTTCTCCTAACCTTTTTTTTTTTTTTTTTTTTTTTTTTTTGCTTTAATTTTCTTATCCTACAATCCAAATGGAGCGTAAAGGCAATCATCTCAAATAAGTTCATTAACTCGTAGGACGAAAAATAAAAAGCAAATTGCAATATATTTAATGAGATTTGTTTAAAATATAAATTGTTTTTTTATGATCTTAGAAATGTTATAATTTTTTATTTAACAAAATGAACATTTTCAGTTTTGTACATCAATGTTCCATCATCATACTCCTCTATAGACACAAAATTTTTTAGTTTTGTACAAAAAAACAACTTAATTTTTTCTATTTTTTCAAAAAAAAAAAATTTATTTATTTATTTTTTTTGCACATAATTTTTTTTTATAGTTTTTTCAATCAGAAAATGTTTGAAAGTTTTGTAAATCAAAATAAATATTAAATCATCATGTTCCTTTATAGATGATCATAAATGATGAACAATCATTATTTGAAGAGCAATTCCGACTATTAAAAATTTAATAGAACTTGAAAATCTAGTTTTAGTTAGGACTTAATAGAGTATAAGTTCATAAACTAGGACTTGTGTGTGAATGTCTCATTAATTTTTTTAGTTGATTTTTTGATTTTTTTTTAGTTATTTTAGTTTGGTATTAAATGTTTGCTTGGTTTAATGTTTTTGAAATTTTTTTTATAAGAGAAAGAGTAAAATAATTATGATTTAGATATGATATTTTGTTTTATTAACTTGTATGTGTGTGTGTGCGCGCGCTTTTTTTTTTTTTTAACCAAAAAACTAATGCCAAACAAAGCTGGGCATTTTCATTAAGCATAAGACAAATTGGATTATACAAGTAACTTATAAACTTATTTTAATTTAAAAATTTGTGATAAATTATTTAGTGCAATATTTAGTTATGACTTATTAGACAAAAATTTCTATTTTCTAATTATCAATTTTTAGCATAAAATAACCTACACCAAGCCCCCCATGTTCTATTTTTTTTTTTTTTTAATTGAGTGATTTAGTGAAAAATGACCAAAAAAATAATTTTTAAAATATAAAAGAAGAAAAAGAACTTTTTGTTATATTTTTCTCCTAACCTTTTTTTTTTTTTTTTTTTTTTTTTTTTGCTTTAATTTTCTTATCCTACAATCCAAATGGAGCGTAAAGGCAATCATCTCAAATAAGTTCATTAACTCGTAGGACGAAAAATAAAAAGCAAATTGCAATATATTTAATGAGATTTGTTTAAAATATAAATTGTTTCTTATGATCTTAGAAATGTTATAATTTTTTATTTAACAAAATTAACACAAAAAAAAAATTCTTAACTATTATTTTTTGTAATAATAAAATTATTAGAATTGTTAATTAAAAAATATTTTTGATATCATCAAAAATTATTAATTGACTTAATAATTATTAATAAAATGAGTCATTTATTATATAATTAAAAATTTAAAAGAGTGTGATATAATTTTCAAAAAAAAAAAAAAAAAATTTTGAAATGACATGATATAATTTCCAAAAGTAAACGCATGAATAAGATTTTTAGAAAATGTACTCCCCGTAAAATCTAATCTATGTGCGTTATGTTCTATAAGCGATTTATATGTTCTTGACATTGCAATTATTCAAACACTTAATTCGAATGTATCTCTTCTATACTTTTCAATAATATTTTTTTTCAAATTGTATTTAAGGTATTGTTTGGTTCGTGTTTTGAGATATTATTTAAAAAATAATTTTCTAGAGAGAGTTTAGAAGATTTGAGAATATGTTTAGTTGTATATTTTGAAAATAGTTTTGGAGTTTGGAATAATTTGATTTTTTGATTTTGATTTTTTGTTATTGAATAGATGAGTATGAAAAAAAAGTGATTAAGAATGAGAGATGAGAGATGAGAGAGAAAGGTAATTGATTGATGTGTAGTGGAAAGAAAAGTGGTTTTGGATTATTTTTTTTTAAATTAATTTTCAACCAAATAGAATTTTTTTTTTTCAAAAATATGTTTTGAGAGACAAATTAAACATGCCCTAAAGTTTTTTTTTTTTTCATAGTGGATTCTCCCTTGATAGTGATTCGAACTAGGATAAATTACATGGACGCTTATGAGATTTGATCTAATTATAGTCTATCTCTTGACGTTCTAAAAATTAGATTCTCACCCATATAATTAATAGTCTCATTTCACAAACTCCATGCATATATAAAAAATAACAACTAGAAAAATAGATGAAATTACATTTGAACAAAAAAAATTAAATAAATAAAGGTAAATAAATAAAGGCAAAGCAAAGGAAAGGGAAAAAAAAGAAAGAAGTAAAGCAAAACAAGAAAAGAGAGAGCACATGAGTTCAATATTTTCATTCCGTCTAAATAATTATAATGATAGGGGGTTAGTGTAATTTCCTAAACGTCAAGTGATAATATGTGTTAAACCCAAATCTCATGGGATGTAAGTGTAATTTACCCTTCAAACTATGTATCTTATGTGTCCCATCAAGTAGATTATTCATGCAAAAAAAATTAAATTAATCAAATATCAATAATCATATTATGAAATCATATTTACCTTAAGAGATAAACATTCTAGGCCTTGTTTTACATGATTTAAAAAAGTTAAAAAGTCAAAAAATCACTATCTTATTTAAATCACATCATTTTATTTAAGTCACATAACATCGCTAACACATCACTTCAAACTCAACTCATACCTAAATCATATTTCATAAAAAGT